AATCACAGAGGAATCCTCCTGGTAAACACTGTTGAGAAGATATTTACCCGCATTCTTCTCAATCGTCCCAACAGTCATGTGAAACACGGAATCCCCTAGCAAAGCCAGTGTGATGTCTGACGACACCGCTGGCGGGCATTTCGTTTCGTGCTAAATACAGACCACTTTCTGCCTTGGTCGATCTATCTTGGTCGATATGATGAAAGCCTTCGATACGATCAATCACAGTGGTCTTTGGAAAAGCGAGCGGAACTCCAGCTGCCCTGAGCAATTTATGCATATGGTGCGTCAGCCCCACAACGAGATGGTGGCACGCCTTGCGACCAATAGTGCAGCCTCAGAAGCAATCGCAGTGACCCAATGAATGTAGCAGGGTTGCATACTCGCCCTCAACGTCTCAACTTAGCTGCTAGACGCTTATTGTGAAAAACTCCCCGGGATCCGCTTTCTCCACAGGACCGATGGCCGTCTTCTCAAACAACGACACATCTATACCCCCAACGCGTCCCTCCACGGCTTCGATCAACTACCTACATTTCACGTATAACTGTGCGCTCAGAACGCCAACTGAGGCGAATATGCATTGAAGCAAGGATCTCTTTACCACTGACTGTGCACACTATCCGGCACACTATCAACGTGGGTAAAATTTTAATCACACGGCACTGAATACAGTGCCACTGATAACAACTGTCCGCGGTAACTAACTCAATACAGTGGAAAATTTTGCCTATTTAGACTGTAAGCTCTCACGCACCACAAAAGCAACGATAAATGACCCATTGGAACCCCAAAGTAAGTCAGACATTCAACCGGATAAGAACCTCCGTGTGAAATCGCCACAGTCTCAACCTCAATACACAACTCAGGCTGTGCACGGTCTTCGATTTGACAACCATGTTATGTGAACTGGAGACCTGGACAGTCAATGGCATGCACGTCGGACAAATCAATCATTCCCACCTGCAGGGAAAAAACAGAAAGAAGTGGAAAGACAACTGCCCGGACACTGAAGTACTTGAACAGACCGAAATCCCCAGCATCCACGACCTACTAAGGCAAATTTAACTGCGTTGCAACGACTAGAGGATAACTGAGGAATGCCTACCAAAGGGAATATTCTATGGAGACGTCACTGCAGGTGCTTGCCGATGAGAAGGACAAATAAATCGCGGCAGCGATCTATAGAGGGGTGCTCGGAAGGCCAACATATGCAAGAACCGCTTACTTACAAATCTTAAGTAGGTTGAATCTTGCACAAGCTCCCAATTTTAGGTACGCCGGCCGTTGGTCCAGTAGGGATTGGATGATGATGTTGAAATGTAGAGGGGTCCTCGGAAGGCCACCATCAACAATAACCGCTTAAGTAAGTTTATTCAGTAAAATGGCTTTTAAAATTAAGCATGAAAATAGCCGCTTACTTACAAATTTTAAGTAGAGTGAGCTTCCACAATCTTCCAACTTTTCCACTCGTTCGATGTTATTCTAATTGAGGTTAGTGATACTGACCTCACCCAATGTCAGCGAA